GGTAGATTCATTCGATTTTGCTGATCCCATCGATGGAACTACCCCCCCCTCTCTCTCTCTCTCTCACGCACACAGTGTATATGTCCACGTTGTAGCGGGAGATTCGTAAGATTTTGCTCATCCTATTTATGGAACTACTCTCTCTCTCTCTCTCTCTCACGCACACAGTGTATCTGTTCATGTTGTAGCGGTAGATTCGTAAGATGGAAATCTCTCTTTCTCTCTCTCTCACACACACACACACACACACACACACACACACACACACACACACGTGTAGAAGCGTATATTTCCCTTTCCCTCCGTCCTGCTCGCGTCGCCCTCCTGTCTCACCCTCGCTTGTCCATGCCATCGCTTCGGTGCTTCTCTCCCGTCGCCCACTTCCCGCCTCCGCCTGCACCGCAACACATCCCGCTCCATGCGAGCACAAGAGGACCCGATTCATCCGCGGCTGAACCGGGTCCTCTTCTGCCCGCGCGGGGCAGGGGTTCACTTGTGTCGCCTGCAACCGGTTTCTGTGGCCGTGCCCTCGTTTCTGCTGCCTGCTCGTGACGCGCGCGACGCTCCACGTCCACGACTGCGCCCTCATCGGCCCGTACCCCTGCTCTTCGCCGGCCCTCGGCACCTCTTCTACCGGTTTTCCCTTCGGCACTGCCTGTCACTGGCCCTGCCCTTTTTTCCCCTGCGCCGTTTCACGTCGGCGCGCGTCATACCTGGCCCCGACCGTCCCGCAGTTGGCTCCACCGGTTCCCCCTTGGCCGCTGGCTGTTACCGGTCCCGCGCAGGGGCACCCGGTTTCTGCTGGGCCCCATGCGAGGACCGCGTTTTCCTTTAGTAGTATAGGGAAAACAAAATGGACCATTTCTTGTTTATGCGTGTCACTGTATCTATATTGTTCCAATTTTAATGGATGTCCCGAAGGACTCTTTGGGCATTCTGTGGCAAGTTGTTGATTTGATAATAAGAGCAAATAACATATTATATATACACTGGTGTTTCCTTCCGTCATCTTCGGGTGAGGCTCAACCTACTGGACCACAATGGCTGGCGGTGCCAGCCAAAAAAAAATAAAAAAAATGCACCGCTGGCGGTTCGGAAAAGCTTGGCGCGCAGTAAGGCGCCTCCAGGCCCGGGTGTACTTACTGGTGGTTTTAAGTTTTAACCACCACCAGTACATGGCCCCAGGCAAATTGAGAATCGAAAACCGGCTCACTCCCAAAAAAAGTCCGAGGCTTGTGGCAACGGGACACATAATGGCTTGCGACGACACCAGCCAAAACGAAAACAAAAACGCTGCGCTGGTGTTTCCGCAAAGCTTGGTGTGCAGTGGGAATGCACCTCCTACAAAAGACTCAAGAAAAAGAGACTTGGGTGTACCAGTGTTTTGGCAACTTGACGAGTGCTATGTATAGTTTTCTTTCTTCTTTCTCTATTGGAGACCCCAGGTCTTTACTTGTTTGGCCTGTCTCAGAGATGGGGATCACATAGTCTGATTGTTTTGAGAAAAAAAAACTGACAGAGGTGAACAAGTAGAGTATGCTAAGCGGCTTAAAATAACCATGTTGAAGGGGCCCGGCAAAATGACTCTGCAACGTTTTTTGGGAGGAGTACTCTCCATTGCAAAAATAGAAAAAGGTCGATGACGACTACCGGATCTACGGGTGAGAACAACGGCACAACAACTATGCAGTGAGCACTTGAACATACACATACTGCTCTTTGGCGTGCGGTAGTTGTAGACTGGTAGAATGTGGATGAACTGATGAGATAAAGGGGATATGTGGCTGCTGTAGTCGCTTTAGGTGAAATGCATTGAATGTGTATGGATTGCTTGCTTGCTTGGTGTGGTGTGTACATGGATGTACAGGTTCAGTCTTTGCTGATGCAGCTGTGCGATGAGACGAGCATTGCGGAGTTGAGTCTGAAGGTAACTACAGTGCGATGCGACAAGCACTGGGAAAATGTCATGCTTCCATGATAATTCCCAATGTGGCAGTGTTTCATTGTACTTCATGTCATTTGCAACTCGCACGAAAGGGGATAAGTAACTTATGTAGCGAAGTATGAGGGCAAGCAAAGAATTACATGAGATGGAAAAGGGTGATAATAGGAATTGACGGGAGGAGGCATAACGTGGGCTTTAGATACTTCCAAACGGGCAGGGGGTTGGACCCCGTTGGAGCGAAAGGGAAGGGGGAGGGCGGCGGGAGGGCGGGGGTTATGTGCATGCATGAAGTAGGGTACTTATGGGGGTGTGTAACAAAGGGGATGGGGAGGATCGTGGGAAGGAGAGAGGAGGGGTGGAAAGTTTAAATGGTCGGCCTCTTTTCTATTCTGCTGCTATCTCCCTCCTCTTACTGGGTCTTGTTCCACCCCTCCTTGCTGGGGATAAGCAAACCGGACCGATGCCCCCTGGAATAGATGGGGCCTTGATGTTCACAAAAAAAAAAAAAAAAAAAACACGAAAAACCAAAGAAAATGTGCAATCTCTGTTTCATGCACCGGCTGGGTCGGTTACCAGCTGGGTCCCCTGGGCTGCTCTGGACCGCATGAGTGGTCCCGCCTAGCCCGGTCCCGGGAAGCCGCAGCCCAAAATACAAGTTTTAAAAAACTCGAAAAAATGAAAAAAAAAACCGAAAACAAAGATCTGGAAAAAAAGAGGACACTATGTGCAGGTGAAGAGCAAACTTTTTTTTTTTTGGTTTCTAAAAAGAATTCTTTTGTCTTTCTTTTTTGGTTTCGAAGAAGAAATCTATTTCGACGCGGCCACTCCACTGTCCAAGGCAATACATCCACGAGAACATCAGGTTTCAGCAAGGGCTGATATGCCTTCAGAGAAGAAGCTCAGACTGTTTACTCCAATTGGAGCCTCATCCCTGTAGCTGTAGGCATCTACATACCACCCATCAATGCTCAGCATCAAGCGGTGGCTATCAATTGAAATTAAATTGGGTCAGTACTGGTGTATTGGCATGAAATCAAAATCATGCTCTCCTAGCCATCTCAACCCCTCTCTATTTGGGGCACAACTTTCAGTCCAGATGGAGCAATAACGACCAGGCGTTCTATTCAGTTGAAGATGGAAGGTGGCTTGGCCTTTTTGTTCGCTGGAATCGCTGCCCTAGTAAAGTGGCCGAGTTGGGCTTTCTTTAGGGCGAGCTCCATGTGCTGCATGAGGTTAAGCAATGAGCAAATACGATGTACAAGACGTGAAAAAGAAGACCAAGTACACGACTACATTGTCTTTCTTTCTTCTTCTTCTTCTTCTTCTTTTTTTTTTCTTTTTTTTTTAATTTTTACACACACAGTCTTTCTTCTTCTTCTTCTTCTTCTTCTTCTTCTTCCTTTTTTTTTTTTTGTTCCAGCCTCCATCAGCACAGACGAACTGCCTCCAATACAGAGTCCATTTGAGAGCACGAAAGGCCTCGAAAGCCAGTGAAAGGCGAGTGAAGACGTGAAATCCTGTCGTTAGATCGCAGGATCTGACAACCTTTTTTTTTTTTTTTTTTTTGAAAAATTTTCCGCTGCAGATGCCGTGATTCCTGCGAGAGTCCGCTGAGAGAGCTGATGACAGTGGTCGATGACTTATGAGATAGGTCAAGAGAAGACAGGTGGGTGAGTCAGCGTCTAGGTAGAGTTCTTGCAAAGGGGCTTGGAGCTCACATTGTGGTGGTTATAATCCGCTGAAGGTTGCACCTCGGCGACTGTGCTGCGGCTCAAGGCCTTGATCCATCACTCGCCACATGCAGAAAATAAAGACAAAAAAGATGACGGTGCATCTTTCCGTGTTCTAGCAGGAGATTCATTCTCATTCTGCAGGGGTGGAGCGAGGCGCTTACTGTGTGGCCTTGTCTGGGGTATGATTTGCTGCGCCGAAAGAGAATCGGTATGCGCTTTGGGGAACATTGATGCTCGGTCTGGGGCTCAGCACCTTAGGGCATACTCACACTAGCACTTTCCTAAATGCATCTGACTGCAACTGCACCCATACCTGGATGAATCTGTCAGCAATCACCTTTGGATCTTTGTCGAAAAAGTCGTAGTGTGAGTATGCCCTTGAAAGATAGATGTACTGCTCGAGGATTCATCAAATCGTCTCCGCGCCCACTTGAAATGTCAAGCTTCATCCTCTTTGGTCATGGATTGGAGCTATCGAACCGTTTGAGGCTGTGCTGCGTGCTGGTGTGTTCGGGACTCCGATTGGCTTGTAGATAGGTGTACTACCCGTCGTCCCCCGAATAGAACGCACCGAAATCATTGGTATATCTGGACTGAAAGTTGCCCCAAGTACAGAGACATGGTGACCACATGTTCTATTCGGGGGAAGACTGTAGTCGTAATTTGCTCAGCCAGAGGTGTATGGGGAAATCCTTGGACTTGAGGAAGAGAGCGCCTACTTTTGGGCATCCTGTCCATTGATTTTCTAGGTATTGAGAATGGTGTGACATCATGAGGGAGTCTGGTCAGTGACAAACTTGCTCATCGATGCCTGTGTCTGCAGGAGGGTGTCCAGTACTCATGGCCCAGTGCTTGTGAGCTCTGTGCAGTCTGGAAGAGAAGGGAAAGGAGTGGAGTTATTGCAAATCATGGGCCCTCCGAGAGGGCGCAGTTCAAATCATGGGCCCTCCGAGAGGGTGCAGTTCTGTGGATGTCTATGGAACTTAGTAGCAATGTCAAGGAGCGTGTTATATTTTGTCGGCTGACAGGTGGTTTCGTCTTTTGTTCACTGTTGGGTGTGTAGGTGGGAGACTTCCAACTGCGTGTGCTCAGAGATGTGAACAATCTTGGAAAGCCGAAGAAGGCCGCTTACCAGGTCCCCATCTCTGCACCACATGTGCCTGGAGGGCCCATGATGGAAGCTATGGAGTCCCCAGCTTCAGCTAATGGTAAAGCACTATCTCTTCCAGCTCGTCCAATGCAAAGCTTTGAAGTTGACACAGAGGAGGAGGAGGATGAAGTGGACGAGGGTCTGCTTTGTGTCCTCTCGCCGAAGGTATGTGTGCTTTCTGTCAGAACTTAGAATTTGTTCGGAGCCAGTTTCTCTCACCATGGGTAGAAACGGCAGCACGAGTTGGGGTACTCTGTTTTAGAAAGCTCTTCAATGCCCCCCCTCCCCCTCCCCCCTCACTGCACCTCTCGTCTCCGCCCTCAGAATCTAACTGGATGTCACTGCTGTCCAGACAAGGGATACTGCCGAACACTGGTCTAGCAGCCATGTTTCGGGAGGATCGACACGCAGCTTGCCTCCCTCATGAAATCTCTAAGGTGCCCGCACTGAATGTGTCAGTTATGTCTTTCGAAACAAGAATGATAGGAAAAGAACTGCCGTTGACGGCTGTGATTGCCCTTGATCGGTGTTGTCGTCTCCTGTTCGTGCTTCATCCGTTGCTGTCTGTTGTAACTCATCTCGTCATGAGCGTGCGGGACTCAAAGAGGTCTCTCTCTCTTCGACTGTTCTGCCTCCCTTGAGCTGAATCTGAGTTGTGTCAGTTTTGACAGAGCAACCTCTTGTCGGGAATGTCTGCTAACCAGGTTCTCTCGAGCTAACCACGTTCTCTTGAAATCTGACAACCGTACATGCTTTTTTTTTTTTTTTTTTTGACAACCGTACGTGCTTAGTCTCAGGGTGTAACATTCAATTGCACCTTTTTGACTCTTTGTCGCAGCCACTGGATTTCCGCCTCAATCATGCTCTTGGTAGCCGTGCAGACTGTTTCGTGCGACGTCTCGGGGCTGCCACGCGTCGTGCTGCATCTTTCCTTCCATATATCTTAAAGTGTCGTTTTACGAATCAGTCCAAATACTCCACACCATATCTTTTCTGGTTTGGCAAAATGGGGCGGGATGGTAGTCAAGTGTAGGAGCTGGATAGGGTGTTCGGGGAAGGTGGAAGAGGATAGATGGGCCCATATGTCTGAGGCTCTGGCCTGGTATTCTGTTGCTTCTTTACACTTTGATTAAACAGTCAATTACACATCTTTTTGTCCTTGGTGTCTGAACAAATTGCGCAAAGATCCGAGATGTTGGGTTGCTGTTCCTTTTTCTAATATGTAGCCAATGATTTACAGGCAGGGCAGTGTACGTGATAACCAATCATTGATAAGCAGGGCAGCATATGCGATTGACGGGCAGGCAGGGCAGCGCAAAGATCCGAAATGTTGGGGTTGTTGTTCCTTCTTCTAATATGTTGCCAATGATTGACGGGCAGGGCAGCGTACGTGATAACCAATGATTGACAGGCAGGGCAGCGTACGTGATTGACGGGCAGGCAGGGCAGCGCACACGATGAGCAGTTTGAGACTTCTCAATTCAAACCTCTTTTCTTTTTTTTTTCTTTTTCTTTTTTTTAACAAAACAGGTCCTTATGGTCCTGGCTCCTTTCCATTCTGCGAAGCGTCAGTCCGGTACCTATTACCCCGGCCAGTCAAAGGATTTACATGTAATACACACTCACGTTTCCTTCCGTCAGGCCGAAGGTTCCCCGACCAGCATCGATTACTCCCTTGTAGGAGGATTGACTGTCAGCTTGCCATTTCAACCCGTTCCTCTCAGGCTGCTGTATAGGCCTGCCAGATATTCCTCTACCTAACTAGAGAGTGAAAGGTTTTGCTGACGTTCGTGCACGTTTGGCTTTCTCACACCCTGTTTATCAACCTGCTTGTTCCTGTGTTTGTCGAACTGATCTTCGGTCTTGGACTCCCAAGTTCGGTTGTCGTCTTTCCATTACCCTTGATACCAGTTCTTCCATATCCGTCTGTTGTCCATTATGGTGGCCACCTTGCCCTTTATTAGCCAGTCCTTTAGGAATGCTCGTCTCTTAGCTGCGTGCTTATCTGGTCTGTGTTTCGCTGATGAAGATATCGTCCGTCATCTGCTCTGGATTTCGGTCTCCGCCATGTGTATCAAGAGAGTCCACATTTTTTCCTTTGCCACCTCTGCTCCCTCGATTGTCTGTGTGCATTGTCGTTTCCATATGATCCAGAGAGTTAGCTTTCTGAGTAACTGGAACCAGACATCCCTGCTGCCGTTGACGTGCCTGGGAGTGTTCGGGAGGAGTAGAATGGTTAGGGGGGATTGTGTTAACTGGACGCATTGTTTTAATTTTTTTTAAACAGTTCTAACCTTAACTGGACGCATTGTGTTAATTTTTGTTTTAACATTATCTTGGCAATTTGGTTGACCTATAATTACTAATTAGCTTTGTCAACCTACTCGTGATAGTTGGGTCCCGGTCCTTCTTTTTTCTTTTTTTTTTTTTCTTTTTTTTTTTTGTGTGTGTGTGTTGCGCGTCATCCTTGCTCCGGGGACATGCTGATCTTCTCTGTATTGTTCCAATTTTAATGGAAGTCCTGAAGGACCAGGGTCCTCTGTCTTGAGTAGGATTTTGTTGCCCAGTTTGACTGCGTAAGCTGAAATGATTGTATTGTTGCATGGCTTTTCCTGCCCTTTGCTGGCTTCTCGTCCCCATTCAGCGAATATGGTCAACTCCAGATCCTGGATGGGTGAATCAATGGGTGATCCAATTTGGACCCAATTTGGGATATGTTTTTTGGCCATCGTCCCAAAACCCGTATGTTGAGCAACGTGTAGACGTTTATTTAGGGTGAATTCTTCTGGGTCTTTGTTCCGAATGGAGGGGGCTTCGGGGTTGGAGTGGATGATTGGCAAGGATATGAACACCGCAGCCAAGTTTCCTGCTTGTCGTCCATGTGAGAACGGATAGACCCTGTTTTGGAGTTGCTTGTTGAGTTTATAAGAAGTATTAACAGCTTAAACTTCACGCCTGTTTTCATGCACCGCGTTAACTCCTTTGCTCACCGTACAGAGAGATGCGCTCACAGTTATGGTTTGTAACTTTGTGCTATTTATGTCCCATCTGAGGCGACTCACTACCCTTGTAGTCTGCATCTCCCCGGCCTGGGTGCCTGTGGCCTGCCCTTACCTGCCGAGCGGATCTGTGGCTTTTCACAATGGAGTCTGTGAACAACTGCTCCAGGTCTTGCTTGCCCACCTCCTGCTCATATGCAGGAGATATGCTTTTTCCCCCCCTAGTAATTTGGACCATTTCTCGATTTATGCATGTCATCCTTGCGCAGGGGCCATGATACTCTTCTCTGTATTGTTCCAATTTTAACGGATGTCCCGGAGGACAGCAGCTCTGCATTTGAACAGTGGATGTATCTTCTTTATTCTTCTGTTGTGGGGAGTTTTTGCTGCTGTGATATTATTGGCTGCAACATGGATGTCTGCGGTGTGTCTGTGTGAGCTGTCTCAGGCGGGTCTGTGGGTGTTGTGGGAGTGCTTTGCCTCTCACTTCGAGTATGAGTCCGCGTGTCCAGTTGGGACGCAAAATAACGCCGTTTGTGCATACGCGTTGGACGCGATGTGGAGTGAGAGGTATTGTACTACTGCTTTCCCCCAAATACGACGCACCTCATTGTGGCTGTATTGAATAGGAAGATAGCTTTTATAGAGTCATTATCCGGGTGCGTTACATGCAGGGGAAGACGGTAGTGGAACCGCGCCTCCTCGATGACCCCTTCATTTTGTGGCTGTTTACAAGGGGCTGTGGGGCAGTCTGGTAGTGCCTTGGCAGCAGCTAGGGGCCGCCACAGAAACAACTGGTGGCCTCAGAGTTGGACCCCGCTGGGACACAACAGCGAATGTTCAGCGGGGCCGTAGAGTTGGGCCCCGTTGGGCCAAAAGAAGAAACTACGGCCGCCACAACAGCGAATGTTCAGGTCAGTGGCCGTAGTTTCCTCTTTTGGCCAGAATAAAAATACAATTAATATGATGAATATATAAATTAATGATCTTGTTTCGAGAGTGCTGAAGGTTTGGCAAGTCCAACATTCAGCAGTCGACAGGTTCTTCAATAAATAGGGTTGGGCACAGTTGTGGTTTAAGTGTTGTGTGCGGTTATCGGGATTTAAGAATTTCGGAGTTTGATGATGAGTGGCTGCCTCAAATTTGCTTGCATGAGGAATGGTATGCTTGGCGTCGTGTACGCTTTTGTTCATAACATTTAGTTAGGTTTTGTTCATAACATTTTGTTAACTTTTGTGGCACATGTTGTAGGTTGGAGTTTTTCGACGAGGGAGGTTCGTCAAGGGGAAGAGAGGTCGCCCGATGGTTGTGGAGGTAAATTGGTCTCTTCTGATTAGCTGCTGCTTACAGAGAGAGGAGTGTAAAGTGCACACAGTCGTGTGGATAGATGAATGTGGATAGATGAATGTGTGACATTGATGAGCCCTCACCAGTTTTGCTGACAGATGGAGGCAGAACAGTGCGACCTGCCGCATTCAAAGGAACTGGAAAATAGCAGTTTTTTTGCCCTCTGCCAGGAATGATGGTCTTCTCCTACGTCAGAATGATTCCAGATTTCAAAACGTCTACCATCCGGGCATCTGGATTGTCCAGACACCAGAGTCTGGATGGTGGACATTTTGGCATACAGAGGGATTCATTCAAAATGAATGTTGGGGGGGGGGNCTGCTACAGCAGGTGGGAGATACCGGCCAGGGGTCAGCCGGTAGCATCAGGACCGAGCTTCTTCGATGGGCCAGTCACTGTGCCTCCCCTCCGGTCCCCTCCCCCTATGAACATCAGCAGTCTCTGCTCAATGCCACTCGGGGGGACCAACGGCATATCTCTAGGTGGCGGGCGCCAAGTTTGCCCAGGAAGGTGCATGAGGCCAATGGGGATTGAACGCAAGACCTCCTGAATGCCACTTGCGTGCCTTACCAACTGAGCTAGGCCGCTGGATCTCTCAAGGTTTCTCAAGTCCTGATAATCATTATTGATGAATAATTTAAGAACCCCCCCCCCAAAAAAAAACAAAAAAAATCAAAAGCGGATTTTTAGCTCTTGACCTGTGCATCGACGGTTCTGTGTGTGTCTACCATCCAGCCACGTGGCAGGTACAGGAGACGTGGAGAGAACAAGCATCGAACCCAGATCGTATCAATGACCTGGCGGAGCTAAGCTACACAGAGGCAAGTAGAGAGGCGCCAGTATTGGCAAATGCAAGCCAAGGGGGAGGAGGTCGCGTGTTCGATTCTTGTGGTCGACTCGCGTTTGGTCTGTACTTGCTTGCAAGCCAAGGGAGGACGAGGAGGAGATGACGAAGGGGAGGGTAAGGATGATGAGGAGGAGCAGAGTGACTTCCCTTTCTTTTTGCTGAATGAAGACTGACCATAACCTAACCCCCTCTAGCGGATATGAAAGTAGAAATAACCATTCAGGCATAGCGGGCGTCGCACCATAGCTTCTCTCTTACCGATAGCGTCTCCTACGGTAGGGGTGCGAAAAGGGGGAGAGAGAGAGAGAGAGAGAGAGAGAGAGAGAGAGAGAGAGAGAGAGAGAGAGAGAGAGAGCTTCTCTCTTATCTGACATGTTGACACCCACATGGATGACACAGGCACATACAGTCACACAGACACACTGATGCGAGAGGAGGTAAGCCCGACTGTACTGAGGCACTCTCTCTCCCCCTCCCTTCGCTCTCCTCCTCCTCCCTTCTTTCTCTGTCTCCCCTCCCCTCTCACCTCTACCTTTCTTTATCCGTCTCTGTACATAGGACATTGTGATAACGGGGGTGATGGCATGAAGCGCTGCTGAAATCCATGCTTGAGGCCCTCTGTCTCTTTGACCCCCTTTCTCGGTGTCTGTCTTGCAATGTCCGAAGTGTGCGAAGTGCGGGCTTGATCACATGAAGAGATGCTCAAGTCCATGGGTGTTTGTGGTGATGGGTATGGTCTTTGCTGGTGAGATTTCCAGCGTTGTCATGGGGACTTGCGACGGATTGCAAGGATGGAGACTGGGGAGTGGCTCAAGGGACTGGAAAAAAAAAAGATGTGAGGAGCATGGAACCACGAGGATGAAATGGAGCTGTTGATTAAGGGCTCATGAGTTCAAATCTGACGGGTACAATAAGATTTAAGGGTTACGCCCCTTTGGAAAAGAGAAAAAAACGTGTCCGCTCATGCCCGTCCCCCTCCCATTGCAGTTTGCTGCAAGTGGAGCCATTGTAGGCAGTCGTCTTGCTCCTGTCAGTAGCGGGCTGTTTTGCGTTTTCGATGTTGATCTCTGTGTTGCCTGTAGCCATCAGATTGCGAGCCATTTTCATTAAGGCGGCTTTAGGCCCCCAAAAACTACAGTCACCGCCAGTATAGAATGCCCCTCCGCCCCAAAAAAAAAGAAAAAAAAAAGAAAAAAGAATACCCGCCGCCCAGTCGTTATAGCTGTGCATTTGGGGTTGCTTTCAGTCTAAATACAGCGATAATGAGTGGGTGTTCTATTCGGGTGACGATGGTAGTGTGCATGTTCCAAGGACTCAAAGAGTGCATTTCTACTGTGGGCTAGTCTGTACCAAGTGGCACTTCCCTCCTTTGCGTTGTTTGTATTTATTTCCCTTTCGGGTTAGTGCAGTCCATTTCACTTCGTCAATTCTGGCTTTGTGTTTTGTCTTTGGGTGCGTCTTTATTTCCCGACGATGGATGAGGCAGTTGGATGGAATGAGTGAGTAACAATGAAACCCACTTTTTTTCTTTTCCTTTTTTTTTTTTGAACTTCTGCGGTGTAGTGCATCCATCTCCCATGCGTAGTCTCTCATGTTCCTGTTCGCTTGTTGTCATTTTTGCAGGGACAAATGATCAAGACTGGGCAGGTCATCGGCTACTTAGAGCAGCTTGGAACGCAACAGCCCATTGAGGTATGTCCTTATGTGCGCAACAGCCCAATCTCTCTGCAAGGACAAGGAGCAATCATTGGAGTGTGTGTGTGTGTGTGTGTGTGTGTGTGTGTGTGTGTGTGTGTGCTGTCTCTTATACACATCTAGATGTGTATCAGCAATCAGACGAAACCAGTCGGGTCGTCTCCGAG